TCCAAGAAATGTGATCAGTAATTATACACGATACTGTATATCATGGAGGAAGGAAAAGAGGGGAAGAAGGTAAAATGGGATTGGAAAACACGTGTTCAGTTTCTTTCCATTACACATTATACTGTTATAGACATGCTGAAGTATTTTAACAGTGACCCTCCTTCTCTACTGCACTCCATACAGCTTTGCACTTGCAAACATTTTAACGTTTTTTAATAACACTTATATTTTTTAGTATTTCTAATATTAATCTTATATATACATACATTTAAAATATTTAAATAATGGCAAATAAGAACATATATGGTTGTCCTCACTGCTTGTTATGAATATTCATCACTTAAACGTGTCAAAATGTCTAGGTCTCTTTGAAGCTATTAAACTGGACCCCTATCAAAGAAAAGCCTTAATAAATTTAATTACGTGCTATGAGTCAGAAATCCACAAAAGGGGAATTATTAAGTTACTTTTTTATTCACAGAGATGACATTTTTTAAATTTTTCTTATAAATTTCTTTCACACACATGACAACTGAGTGAAAGGAAAGGAATCCTCAGAGAACTTTTTCCAAGCTAGATGTTAATCACTCTTTTATATTAGAACTATATTCTCCAGTCTTTCCTGAACAGCTAAAGCAAGAAGTTTCTGTAATTGTTTATTATATCTGTGTGAAAGCAAGTACAGGTATTTAAAATATGGCATATATTGATGACTGGTTATTAAGTCAATACTATTAATTAGCAATACAGCTAACACAATCCTGGTCACAGATTTCCTTTCCTGAAGTCACAGTCTGAACTGGGATAGTGAAAATACAGCTGAGTAATTAGGAAATGAGACTTAAGGTCTCACCTTTTCTTTTTTAACCTTAAAATACAAGTGCAGATTGAGGAGGTGTTGTGTGAGTAAGCACAACTCCTATGCCCTGAAGAACTTTGCTGAGTTCAGTGCCACCCTAAAGGGACTCACAATTCCATCTGGATGCCAGCAGCTGTTAACCAAGTGCCACACAAGCTGAATTTTCCAAGCAGATTTCCCATTCAGCACAAACGTGGAATGTTTGCTCATAGCCCATGTGTGAGTGCCACTGACTCCACCTGGGTTCAGGACTTCAGGACAGTTACCTCACTCACACAAACCCCACAAACACACCCAAATCAGGCATCCAGAACCTCACTGTCTGATGATCTAGAGTCTCACCCTATTTCACAGCAGAATAACATCTGGAGTTTGAAATCAACCCTATATTCTTTACTATGAAAAAAGACCCCACTGATTTCAGTGCTTTTCTGTGACTAAAAGCTGGGACCGGTGACAAGTTGAGGAAATACAGGGGTTTTAGTCATATAGCTAAAAATATGTCTTCATTTATTTTTTATCTAAAAATAATATATAGTACTAACAAGCCTCAACTGGGGTGTGAATATAAAAAATTCTCCCTGAAGGATGATTCCTTACCAGTCTCCTATACTGCTAGAAAGTCTGTGGTGAGCTATCTTAACATCAATATATATGTAAATATTTGTCACCTTGCTTTGCATGTTTTCCACACAAAAAATTATACAGACTTACAGTGGAATTATGTGGAACTGAATACAAGTTATTGTGAACCCATTAGGTCCAAATTATTATTTAACCATAATTAACCCAGTTCTACATTATTGATTATAGAAGCATATTGGAAATCAGTGCTAGACATTCTTTCTGGTTTTCCATTCAATTCAAGAAAAATGTTCTAAATTTAAATAAATATTTCAAGTTTAGGACAACTAAATACTTCATCTTTCAATATAATAATTCACTTCATCATTGAAAATATGAGTGGACACTAAATAAATAACTGCATCACTTGATTTTTTGAAGGAAAGATTACTATAAATTGAATGAAGTGAGACTAATTTTTTTTTTTTTAATTCAAATGATCAATTATTTTAACTGAAATGTATTTAATTAAACCCAAAATACATTTAATTGAATTTAATTTAAAAGCATTTGCCATGTTTTTCAATGATTAATATGGATAGGCACTGGATATCAATGTCTCATTATGCATTTGTATTCAGCACAGCAAGCCAAGGCAAACACAAATGACTTCAAGGTGCTGAGTATTTTCAGTTTCCAGTGGTTCCAACTAATCCTACTTAGCAGCAAAGGTAGATTATTTTCTTGAACATAAGCTTTGCAGACCTGGGGTTTATGAGATTAAAGTCTCCGATCCAGCTCTCTGCTGGGCATGTCTCAATAACCCACAGTTATTTACACTCATTACTGCTTCGGCTAAGTGGATTGGGTAAAAACCTCATGATTCTCATGGATTTCTTAACCTTCTATAAATAACCTGTGTTGAAAATTTACGTCTTAACATGAAATTTTGATGTCCAGGCTTTCCCACTATCATGCCAGAGCCTCACTGAGGTATGCTGAGAATTAACATACCTGATATTGCTGTTAAAAATCCATTTTTTTCATCACTCAACTTGGTGATTTCAGGGAAATCACTGGGAAATTTTAAAGGCTCTCAAGTCTGCCCCTGTAGGTCTGTTCACCAGCATATAAACCATTAGCTTTATTTTCCTACACACAACAACAATGAGAAGACAGATATCAGACACCTCTTCTGGCCTGTACTCTTTCCTTTGAGCATCCTTTTCTTTATCTCTGCTAAAGGAAGAATTTGACATTAATTTCCAAAAAAAATGCTCTCTGGACAATCACCATCACCGTGTTCATGCTAACTGCCTGACTGTGAATTTATTTTTATTTTGAAACATTTGGTGAGCTCTGTCCTTTGTCCCAGGATTCTTCAATCTCAAGAACACCAAAAGAAAGACAATTCTAATCCTACACTTCCTTCTGTAGAGAGGAGCAAAAGTAAAGCAAAACTTTATTTAATTTCAAGTGGTTCTACTTTTTCTCTGGATATTCTGGATTCTTCTGTAATAAACTGCTGCCCTTGAATGTCTTCTATGCTCCTGAAGTATAGTAAGAACTATGATATATATCCTTATGAAAAGGATTTTGAAACAAGAGTAAGATGAGACAGCTGTTAAAATAACCTTTTTTAAACATTACAATACATATTACTGATCAGTAAGTTAGTTTTTCTCTCTTACCAAGCATAGTCCATAGTTTTTTCAATATTTTGAAATCTTCAAACAAAACACTTCTTCTTTCTTAATACAAGCCCAGCCTTACAAGTGCCACATTTCTGCAATGGTCTGAGAAGTGCACCAGGTCTTTTAATTTTAAGTGGAAATTTCACCTCCCTGATAGCCTTCAGGTGAGCTGATTTCAGATTGGCAGAGATCAAGTGGCTGTAAGAATGTTTGTAAAGATATAATTTCTTATTGAACATTTAAGTATAAACCTAGATATAAATAAATTAAAGATATGCCATAGAAATCTATCCAGTATCTTTTCAAACACTGTCAGGTGCTCTGCACAAACCAAGAGCACTTCACATTTCTCCAGGTTTTGTTTTATTGGCAAAGCAATCTCACCTTCATCTCTCTAGAGCCATTTCCCAGCACCAACTTAAAATATCCAGAACAAGGCAAAAGGCTGTATGTGCTACAGAATGCAATGCAGTCCACCATCAACTCAGTTTTATACAGTCAACACAGTAATGTGAAAATGTTGCCTTTTCCCTGCATCTTTTTTTAAACCAAAACATCTGATGAGAGCTCAGGAACTGGTGGAAGACTCATGAAGCATGACTAATTAGAGCATGTCTTCTGTATCCCATTGTGTCTCTTGGTATCATGTAATTTCAGAATTTTCTATTTCCCCAAACATCATTTATAGTTAGTAGAATTATAATTTTGTTTTCTGTTTTTGGAAAAAATCACTTGTTTTTTCCTTATTAACTCCTGTTAACACTTTTTTTTTTTTTTCTTTGTATCAGGGCCGTAAGTTTGAAGATTTGGAAAAGAGAATTTCCACACATCAACAAGAAAACCCCCATAACCCCATTAAGACAGATTATCAAGCACTGATGAGTATTTTTAAGTAGAATATTATTTTTAGAAAGATGTGAGCAGGTGAACTTGTATTTTCAAGGGTCCAATAGCGGCCCCAGGCATTGTGATCAGTGACCCAAATTTCAGCAGGAGGCAAGTCACTAGTGCTGTACTCCCGGGGTCTGTGCTGGGTCCAGCAGTGTTCAGCTCTGTTCATGGGTGGATGAGAGAACAGAGCACCCCCCAGCAAGTTCACAGGTGACAGGATGGGCAAGAGTGGCTGATACACCAGAGGGCTGTGCCACCATTCAGAAAGATCCTGCTATGATGAGAAATGGGCAAAAAGGAATCCCATGAATTTAGACAAGTGCCAAGGGGAGGGCTACACCTGGGGAGGAATAATGTAGGCACTAGCACCTGCTGGAGGTTCTCTGTCCTGAAAGCAGTTTTCTGAAGCTTTGCAGAAAAGGACTTTGGGGTTCTGGTGAACAACAAGCTCACCAGGTACCAGTAATGCGCCCTTGGGCCAATGGCATCTTGGACTGCATTAGGAAGAGCATTTCCAGGAGGTCAGGGCAGGGATTATTCCTGTCTGCTCAGCACTGCTGAGGCCACAGCTGCCTGTGCCCAGAGCTAGACTTCCTAGTGTACACAGAGCTACTAAAGTGAGTCCATCACAGAAACACGGAGATGATGAAGGGACTGAGGCATCTTTTACATGAAGTGAGGCTATGAGAGTTGGGGCTGTTCAGCCTGGAGAGCAGAAGGCTTAGGGGGATCTCATCAATGTGTAGAAAATATCTGAATGGATGGAATGAAGAAGATGGAGCCAAACCCTACTCAGTAATGCTCACTGAAAGGACAAGAGGCAACAGCTGCAAAATGAAACATATGAAATACAATCTGATCATGGCAAACTTTTTTTTTTTTTTTTTCCCCATCTGTGAAGATTCTGAACAGTGGCAGAGGTTGCCCAGAGATATTGTGGAGTCTCAATCTTTGGAGGTATTCAAGAGCTGTCTGGACATAGTCTTGGGTACCTGGAGGGGTTGAACCAAATGACCTCTGGAGATCCCTTCCAGCTTCCACTGCATTCTTATTCTGTCAAAGGAAGTCATATGTTATAAATTATTTGATGGCCTAAAAGCAAGTGTCAGGTTCATACTACGAATCCACAAAAAATTCTACTGCTGAATGACTAATTTCTTATGCTGAATTACACACTCCCAAAATGTGGGCTGAAATAATTCTGAAAAAGAGTCTGTTCAGCTGTCATCACACTCTCCTACAAATGTAAATTAATTTGCATTCACAGAATCACACCTCCTCTGAGATACAATTTAATCTCCATAGTAGTTCTTCTTTTAGGTCTGAGATTTTCTTGCCATGGAAGTTTCAGATCATCACATTACAAAATGTCTAGCTAAGACTTGCTAGGCTTTATTGCCAGGTTGTATTTTGCTAAGGCAGCCTGCCCTTATGGTCACACGGTCATGCAGCCACAAAAGACTGGAAATACAAAAGAGTTTTTGCACAGAGTTGTAAATCTGCTTGTTCCACATGCAGTTGTGCACCTGTACTTGCACACATCTTGTATTCACACAGATATTGCAAGGAGCTAGGGCTCATTGTTGTGAAAATGCATTTGGATTTTTCAACATGGTGTATGCTTCCTTTCCCTGCTTCTAAACACAGTCATAACTCAAAGTATCAAACTTTTTGATTCAGCACAGAATGTGTTTCTAAACTACACCAATGAAAGGAAAACTTTTTTTATTTTCAGTTCAAATAGCCAAACTAAATGCAGAAATGTTGATGAGTCAAGATAGGAGCATACACATTTTTTGAAAGTGGTATTTGGCATACACCACTGGCAGCCAAAGAAACATTTTCATAGACAAGAGGTCTGTCTGCAGTTAAAGGCAAGACTTTAAATGGGAACTTATTTTTATGTTTTCCTTTTTACATCTTTGAATGATATGAAGCAGCTTCATGAACAATTTAGTTCCATGAACAATTTAGTTCCATGGCATACAAAATCTAAGAAAGCCTAAGTGAATTAATACACTTAATAAATGCATTTAAATTTAAAAACAAAAAATAAAAGAAAAATCAACACTGGATTATGCAATGTTTTTCCTGGGGAAAAAAATCCTTGGATTTTGTTTTGTCATACTCTACATTAAATGTACTCTAACTGTAAATATTTCTACTATGTGAGTTGATACATAAATATATAAATATGTCTATTGATCCTCTGTACTGCCGAATAATTTGTGGTTTTATTAATGCAAAATAGAGTTGTTTTATAGAAACTAAGAGCTAAAATTGTGCTTTACTGGAAAACGTCGGGGTTTAAAACTAGAAAAGAAGTATGTGCAATGTCTTCTGTATAAAGTTCAACAAATAGCTTTTATCTTAGCATAATGAAAATGATCTGAGCCTACAGGCTACTATAACTAGGACAGGAGGAGTGCTAGAACATGATTTTCACACTAACCTACGAGAAAGATTAGATTCTTTTTTTGTGCACTAATGACAATGGTTTTGTTTCTCATTGTGGAAATCTGATACAACAGCCTAATTATCTACAAAACCAGTATCTTTGGAGTTCATCACTTTTGGTTATTTTGCTCTGTGAATTGAATTGTTTGCTATTCAGCCCTGAGTGGTGATGAGGAAAATACAATATTTGTTCTAGTGAAAACTATGGAATCTAGTTGTCACCAGTGATATTACAAGCTGCCATCTAAAGCAGATGTTGGATAATGAATTTCCTGCATTAAGTCAGTAGAGTACTGCAACACTTAAAATTAATACACCAGATGTATAAGTTTTGGAAAAATTCTCATCCATTAAAGACACTGATTTGATTAAATAGAATAAATTATCTAACATTAACAGTACTTCTCATTTTAACACAGGTACCAAGTCTGATACAAAATTACAGTTTATATCTTTCACATTCATCTGACACAGACCAAGAAGGTGAAGTAACAAACCAGTTCACCAGTTACAAATTTGAAAGTAATTACAGGGCTGAGTACTAGCACAGTCCAGCTTCACAGAAATGTCTAAAGAAGTTTTCATGATATAACACATTTTTTTCCCAGGTATGGTCTTTTATTCTATACACAGTATACAGCAGTATTGAGAATTTATCAAGGTTAAGGGGTGAAAGGAAAATGGATCTCAAACACACTGCCTTTCAAAATGAAAATTTCATTGCAATGCCTTCCATCTCGATCACATACACTGATTTTTCTTTCTCTCATCATCCCGCTAAAAAGAGGGTTTTTAGTTTTGTGAATCATCCTGTTTGTTTTTTTTTTTCCATTTCCTGGAATAAAAGACTGAATTCTATATGATGGATAATATGGTAATTATTTTAGAACATATCAAATTTAATAATATGCATTTCTTTTCAGACAAATTCAGCTTTTTCAGTGTCATTCAAGCCTGAATATAACATGATAATGATGTTTTGTGCTATTACCCTGCATCACTTAATGTCCACTTAAGCTTTTGGATTATAAAATGCATAAGAAAGAGATTTTTCTTCACTGTTTTAGCATTTTCTGCCTATGACTTAAGCACACATGATTACACTGTTGCACTGATTGATGCCAATTCAGCATGAGGACAATTGGTAGCAATTATGTTTGGGTAAAGTATTCAATATCATGTCATTCCTCTAGGCTGAGAATGCAGTGCTATTTAGAAGCTCGAAAACATCAAACAATAAAAACATATTTTATTGCATATATGATTGTGCATATATAGAGAAAAATAGCCATATACAAAAAGAATTCCAGATTATTTGTGTGTTATTATAGATATGCACTCTTCTAGAGAATTTCTCATCTGCGTAATACAAATACAAAAATTAAAAAATATGAATCAATTTCCTATTATCTGTTTTTAAGAGAGAATTCTAATGACTTAGTGATAAGCTTCTTTTTTAAAAAGAATTATTATCGTTTAGCTCTCTGCTGGTAAGATTATACTTTAGTAACTTAAATGAGTTTTTGGAGTCATAGTTCCCATATTGAGACATTAGTTATTTGAAGAACAGTGTTAAAAGATCACTGTTCTATATTACAGTTACTGTATCAAAATTGCCATAACAGACGAGGAACCTGGAAATAATAAATTTTTATGATATCACTGTAACTAAAAGTTATTTTGATCATCTGTTGTGCACTTACACATAATGCTCACATTCTTTGTGAGTTTTATTTTAGTCTTTATTTTCTCAATTAGATTTTTTTGAGCATTTCTAGCTACACTAACTGGCACTGCTCTGCCCTGCAACAAGTGAATGGCTCCTTGCATATACTTATTTCTACTATGTAAAGTTGGTGCTACAGCTGGAGTTTATTTGCACTTATGCAAATCAAAACTGAAAAAGAAACACAGTTAGGACTTGTTGACTGTTCCTTTTACAAGTTTATTTTTAAAATTGCTTCCAGTTTTTCAGATATTTAAAATATGACTAAGCATGTAAACAAAGTAAGCATTTAACTGTGTAAATGTGCACGTGTGGATGTGCAATGTCTGTCTCTGCCTGAAAGCGTAAATTGTACTTGTCTTCAGAATAAAATATGCCTAAAATGTTAGAATATGGGAATGGTTTTGAAATATGTCTTTTGGTAGCAATATTTACCTAAATGTGCAGGAATTTTCTCTAAGAAAGACAAGGTAATAGTAAACAGAACAAAGCCTTTTAGAGACCATCTAATGCAGTATTTAACTAAACTGGACAAGAGAGTCATCGGTAAATTGGAAACCTCAGGGCAGAAAATGTCCTTATAAAAGGACAGATATGTAGTATCTGATCTATCAACTAATTTTTTTTATTTTGCTTCTGGTTTTGATGTTTGGCTGTTTTTTTTTCCAGTTTGATAGGCTTATTCAAAATAGATCAATTTGCCTTGTATTTAGTGGTACATGTCTGTGGTGTGTTTGGTGTTGTGGGTTTTTTTTGTTTTTGTTGGGGGTTTATTTTTTCATTCCTTTTGTATAGGAAAAATTGGTAGTTTATTCAGTAACTATATAGGCAAAGTGTCAGCTATACAGCACACCAGCTGTATAACACAACAAGATTGCTCATTCATCCAGATCTCTTAAATCTATTAGCCTGACAGGAAAAGTACATGAAAGCTTTCAAAGGCCAAATTACAAAAATTCAAACACAGTACAAACTACTGAACACTTCTGTGATGTCTGTCGGGCACTGGCCATGAAGTGACCTTGGTAGAACTACTTACACCAATGTTTTACATGCATGAGCTAACCTGGAGCAAATAAAAAGGCATTTATCACATCAGAGTCTCCATAAGTAATCCTTCTTATTCTTGGACTTCTACTTCCACTCAAAGCAAAGTTCAGAAAGTTATCAGGAAGGTTTAATAATTACAGTTTCTGTTACTCAAACAGAACAGGTTTGTTATAATTAAATAAAACCCTATGTTTTATTTAATTCATGGAAATGAATCACCTGACAAAAAACATTTGCTATAATGGTTTCATAATTGTTTTAGGAAGACTACCACAGTATGTGATATACTACAGAACAAGAATAGGTATTAATATGATGGAGATGAAGCCCATTTATTTTCTGCCGTATTGCAATGCTCTTCCTTTGCTTACTTAAACACATGAACAAGCAAACACACGTTTATAGACAGCTAAAACACAGGTTTCTTGATTTTTACTCTGAGGCTGATGGAATATTCATCATTCTACTAAACATGGCAGTAGAAGTAGCTGCTTCTTAGGTATTCTATAGGAATTTGCACCAAGTGCAAATATTTGTCAGGAAATTTCTGTTCAGTGATAAAGGAAAGGTTGAAGATTGGTTTTCATTCCAAATTAAATTTATTTTTCTACCTAGCAGAAAAATCTGAGGAAAGTAAACCAGGGAAAGCAACATCTGACTTCAGTGAATTCTCCTAACAAAAATTAATCTGAATGCCATTAACACAAGTTTGAATAATAGCATACCAGAAGTTATTAAACATTCTAGTATACACATGAGGTTGTGCCAGTTCCAGTAATCACTGTTTGGCACATCAAAGAAATCCTGGAATCATAACTTCTTACTAGAAAAGGAAATGTAACATTTTTAGTCTTTCCCCTGGAAAGTCAGAGCTCATAGTGCAATCTGATTGCTGCAAAGACATGTCAATGAAGAAGGGTGTGCTGTCTGAGAATTTCCTTCCCATCCCCATCAAAACATTTGTGAGAAATCCAGTTAAGAAAATCCAGAGAAAAAAAGCATTATGTCTTCCTTCAACTCAGTCATGTTCTGTTCTGTTTGTGGCAAACCCTGAAACCACTACCTCTCTGAGTCTTGAATTTCTTCCCACTTCTATCTCTTGGACAGAAAAAAACCTGTTCACTGTACTTAGGCCAGGAAAAATTTGCACTTATATTAACAGAGAAAAGGAATTTAACTTGGAGCTACTGGAGATTATTCAATGGGGAAAGGAAAGACAAAAAATATGGTGGGGATTATCTAGAGGGATAGAGAAGACTTATCAAAATCAGAAAGAGAGGATTCCAGTGTAATCTGCTCCTTGTATTAACAACATGTGCAACCACTTGTACTGGCAGCTTGCTCTGATTTTTCACATTATCCAGGGGCTATGTGTGTGAAGCTGTGAGTATGCATTTACAATGGTTAGTGAATAACCTTGCAATATCTCTGGTGACACTATCCTCCAATCTCTGCTTCCCATTTATTATGTTGTAGATGTCTGTGACAACTAGCATAAAGCCCGTGGAAGCAGTTTATGTGCTAAGGGCTGCTCCTCCTATGTGAATGGAGTATTAGAGGATACATGCTGTAGTTTCCAACCTTCACAAAGGACTTCAGCATTCCTAAATACAAACTGTAGTTTACCATATACACATACAAGCAAAAATACCCTGAAATAAAACATTAAATGAAAACATGCACAGTTTTGTTCATTTTGGTTTAAAATGCTTTTGCTAGTTAATTAACTTGACCCATGAAAATAGTAAGTAACAATATTCTCTAATGAGTTTCTTCATTGATTGTGTGCAGCAATAAATTCCTGCTTGTATATTTAATATCTGTTTATTTGAATTATTCTATTTAATACATGTTTATGTGAGAGATTTTAAAATAAAGTTTCTGATAAGTTTAATATACTGAAAAAAGACTTTTGGTTAGACACGTCACTGTTTGGAAAAGCATTATGAACATTAGAAAGAATCACTGTACTCATCAGATGAGGAGGAATAATAATAATAATAATAATAATAATAATAATAATAATAATAATAATAACAACAATAATAAAATAATGTCACTAAACCTAAAGGCTGTCAATTATAACTGCTATCATCTGGCTCTCACTTCTTATTTACATTAGAAAAAGAGAAAAGAGACAAAAGCACTGATGCTGGGGTGCTGCAGCTGCTGTGGTTAATGAGAAAGCACCACTGGCCTCCAAGAGGCACAAGTTCCCAAACACCGGTTCACTTCCCAGGACTTCTCAAATGCTTCCCTCACCCACTTCCATGACAAAACAAGGTAAATTACAAGTTTCTCTTCTATTGAAAAAATCTGTTACTATGGCTGCTGATCTCTGACATGCAGGAATTTTTTCTGCTTCCCCACATGCTTACTGATGCTGCTGTCCTTCAGCATTTCTGACATCTTAAGAAAAACAGCCTATTCTTTAAACCCTCATCTCAGCACAAATTTGTGGAGACTTGCTGTTCTTTCCCTATTCTGTAGAGCACATCAGTTCTGACAACAACAGGAGCTGGCATGACCCAGGCACGGAGCAACAAAGAAATAACTTGCTGATGTTGCTTGTGAAGTTGTGCGAGTCCTGATCCTTCAACTATTTAGAGGACACAAATGCAGCCTCCTGTTCATTTCCTAAAAGCTGCAAGAAAAAGAGGCCAGTGATATCTTGCAGTTCTCAATCAGAAAACCACCACCTAACACATTAAAGGGACTGGTATTGAAAATGAGTATTCAACTTCACCAGGAGATTGCGGCAAGATGGAGCTAGGATCCAGACTACAAGGATGTAAGAAGATTGGGATGGCAGACAAAATATTGGAGCTTCTGTCCATAATTCTGAGCCATCATATGGCAGAATTAAAGCCGAAAGCAAGCATGAATTGTCAAACAACAAAGCTCTGTAGCAAAATGGAGGAGGTAGCTGCCATCCAGTTCTGACAGCTCGCCTCCTGCAGCCCCTGCAATCACCCTGACACGGTGGTGTTTGTGGCCATGGCCAGCCCTGGGGCTGTGAGCCCTATGCAGCATGAAAGAGACACAGGGCTCTTCCTGAACTGCCATGCATCTGTCTGTCCCATGCCCAGATAGAAAGGGTGCAAAGCCTGTAGCTTGGTGAAATTACCTTGCTATTTATAGCAGCATATAGTGTAATTGCATGACACCCAATGGAATTATTTAGGCTCTACAATAAGGGTAAACAAGACTAAAATCTGGCTATTTGTCTGAAGGTCAAAGAAAGGGTAAGCACATAAACTCTATGCTAATCAAACCCTCAAACTATTAAAAAAATTAGATGAAAAACTTACACATATTTACATTCAACATGACTTACGTTAAAAACAGAAGAGAAAGCAGAGAAGGAAGAAACAGATGGTGTACCAAACATCACAAGCAAGTAAACAAGGACACATAAAAAACAAAGTCACCACAAAATCAAGACCTGTCAGACAAGTACTGACCTTAGCAAAGGCACACTCGGGCAGACACAGGCTCCACAGGCACCTCAGTGCCACTGGGCACATTACTGAGAGGAAGGCATTGTCAGGTTGTCACTGTGTCACAGTGACTCCAGCAGCACCTGTTCCACTGTCTGTGTCCTCCCCAGCAGCTGCTCTCTGCCACTGCCATTGCCTCACCTGCCGGGCTGCAACAAGTCGTGTGGGAATAATTTCCCCTTCTTTTTCCAGGCACCTGCTCACCCTGTGGTCATTCCTTTCTCAATCTCATCTTTTTCATCTGGTTTATTTATATCTTCTGGTAATTTTAAATATCATTCAGCTATCACAGTTTGCTAAATCTTTTCTACCTCACAGCATATATACTGTAGATGGAAGAGCACCACTACCTGAGATCAGTGAAGTCCCACATACACCACTATATTGGGTTTGGTGTGGCCAAGCTTTGGAACTGGGGGACTACAGGGGTGGCTTCTGTGAGTGGCTTCACATTCAAGAAGTTCATGGAGGACTGTCTCCTGTGGAAAGGCCTCACACTGGAGTAGAGGAAGGACTCCTCTCCCTGATCATCATCAGACACAACCTGTGATGAACTGGCCATAACCCCCATTCCCAGTCTCCCTGCACTGCTAGGGAGAAGTAGAGCTGGAAAGAAAGGGGTGAGAGGAAGTTTTTAAGACCTTAGTTTGTTTCTCAGTATCGTGCTCTGATTTTGTCATTAATAAATTCAGTTGATAGCTCTAATTCTAGTCTCTTGCCTGTGCTAGGGTTTGGTGAGAGATCTCTCCCTATCCTTACTTCAACACATGAACCCTCTGTTGTAGTTTCTCTCCCCTGTGGAAGCGAGTGACAGAGAGGCTTTGGTGGGTGCCTGGCATCCAGCCAGGTTCAAACAACTACAACCACTTACAGTGGAGGATGGTGCCAATCCACCACAGGACATGGAGCTAGAAACATGCCATCCAGCTATTTCAGCATGGATTAATCATCATTCTTATAGGAAAAGACAAGTAAAAGGGCATGTAAAAGAATAAGGGTTCCCAAGGATAGTTTAATATTAACAATCTTTCTAAAGACTCCTATTCCTGAAGCTTGCTTTATCTTCTATAAAGATTCATCCACTTTTGTCTTCCGGGAAAACAGTGGACAACATAAGGATAATATGTTGGTTTTGCCCAGTATATCCTTTTCATCTTTACTGAAGAGTAGCTTTTTTCCTCAAGATGCTGGATGAATGACCTGCCAATATTCAACTTGTTGCTAGGCCTATACCCTTGCCCTACAAGCATTTCAATATGTCTATTATTTTCAGCATAGTCATCTGTCTGGTTTTTTTCATAGCCATCATTCTTTTTTCCCTGCCTAAGTAGGTCACTTGTATCATCATCATCATCATCATTACCGTCATCATCATCATCATCTGCTGTGCCTGTTTCATCTCGTTTGTCCATGGACACAGTTTCTTACAAAAGAATCTTTGCTCTATTTCAGCAACAGAAGGTTATGATAATCTACCTATCTTTGCACTTACTGCAGCATATTCATGAATGAGGCAACGTTGCAAGAGGCACTGTTTATTTTAGCATCACACACAATATACTATAGTCAATAGTAGTCCTTGTTCTCCTTGAAAACTATTAGTCTAAGACAACAGAATTTTAAGTCATTACAAAGAAAGGAATTAAGCAAAATGTTTCCTGCTCTTTCCTCTTTTGATGAAACTTTGTGAGTTGTTACCATAGATCCTTTTCTCAGAATTTGAGAGGGCTGTGAAGTAGATATATTAAGCCCCATTATATCAGAAAAATCATTAGTTAACACAGATCTTTCTCATACATTTATTAGTTGAAGCTTTTTCATTATCAGTTGAGGTCAACAGACTGAACAAGTGGGTCACATTACCCACTCAAAAAGCTTTTTATATTTCAAGCTCTCGTACCTAATTTATCCTCAAACTCCCTATGAAATAGGCAAAGTAATTAAGTATGATTATGCTACTTTTCCTAATTAGGTAGCAAGTGGCATCAGTGTTAAGTATATTCCATAAGTTTATACAGTGAATTAAAAGCAGAAATTCCGACCTGATCGCAGTGTTTGACTACAAGTTCCTGGGCATCTGGGAAGCTACCTAAAAGTTCATGAGGAGCTGTTTTGACTTTTATTTATGAAAAAACATGTATGGACTTCTGGACTAAGAGAGGTAAACCAGCATCACCATTAACACCCCCTTAACGCACCAAAATTTGCCAGTCAAGTGATACACAACCTCTATGGGACCTTCTTACTCTTTCACACATCCAAACCATCCATCCAATCCATTCCAAATGCACTAAAAAGTTTACCCCTGCATAAACAAAATGCAAAAGATGGAAAAGTTTAAACATATGTATTGTAAGTACAAATGCAAAATGCACTCTTTTATTCCTACTAATTATTACAGCAGCGTTTTTTCCCCCTTCTTTTTAAGCATACTCATATTAGTAAATACTAAGAGGCTTGAAACAGAAAGAGGAATCCACTTGCAGAAACACAGCTTAAGCATCACTTTCTGCATTGAACACTGAGTCAAAGGTATCATTAGCATAATTGCAGAACAGCCAGTGAGGCTTTCAAAGATGTGAGTAACAGCATAAAGGGCAGGTACATTATTTATAAATTAATTTCTCCTGGCCCTGAAGAGAATAATCATAAAGGGCTCATTTTTCTCTTTATTCAATCTTATCAGTTAAAATATCAGTTTACAAAGCACATAAAGTTTCAGCTGGATCCAATAGAAATAGCAATCATTTCTTGCTGTCTTGAACTTTTACTCCCTGGTTTCTGTTATCCCATTAATAGGTCTTAAAGCCAACCAGTGTTTCCAGACTTGAGCCTTACAGGGAAGCTCTTCCAGATTTCACATTGCTGAATTCTGGGAAGTTGTTGTCTGATTCACACATCAGTCACACATATCACAAAGGTGAACAGAAAACTTTTTTCTTCAGAGTAGGAAGAAGAGTGTATCTAACATCACACTTAAGTGCAGAAATGAAAAAAACCACATTTGTAACAGAAGAAATGGCCATCCTATTTTTTACATTTCTATGTTTTCTTTTTAAACAAAATTATGAGTTAGACATTTGTTAAAAAAATGATCAGGAAAAAGGTTTTGGGACATTTGGATCCAAAATTGTTACATCAGGTATTTCAAATGTTTCAAGAGAGATGAGTGACCGAATTACAAAGTTAAAAGACAAATTTAAAGTAGGGTTCTTATTTTTTAACAGCATATCCTAGACAAATTATTCCAGTTATGTTACTGTATGATATAATAAAATATGAAAATAAAATAAATTTTGACAGCATTACTAGTTGCACTTCTAGAAAAACATCAACTTCCTCTATCAAACCACAACATTTAGAGGCCAAAGAAGCTGAGAACACAGGTTATTAAACACCAAAACACAAGCTAAGCATCTTCAAACTCAGTTCCTGAAAATCTTAATTCCTTGTGTGGTCCATCTAGTGATGAGAGATTTAAATGGCACATTTACACAACACAAACAGATCTGCTGTCTTTGGGGGTAGTGAAAGAGGAGAAGCAGGACGAGGAGGGGAAGAAGGGTTGAGTTTCTAATGGGTATCACCTACTGATGGGATCTATCTGCACACCAACCCTGGCTTTCCCCTCCTCTTCTAGTAGAGGGGGTCAGTCCCACAGGGGAAGAGTCCCAGTATGCAAAGTAGGGTGTTTACCTTTGCTGCTTACTAGCTGTCTTTAATGAAATGTGGAAGAGAAGACAGGAGCTTGGTGTTAGGGCATGCAGAGAAATCATCTCTTCTGGTTTTGATACTATTATATCAATGGCCTTTGTTTCTAAGGTCTAAAACATGGACATTTCAGTTTCTCTTTTGAGATCCCATTCACTATTTTCATCATCAATGTTTAAGACTGAAATGTTACACATACAATTTTTCTCACATGAAAAACCTTTGTTCACAGTAAGACAGTGTAAGCAAGAAGCTCCTGACTTTTGTTTGGTACTCAATCCTTTTCTGTTCCTACTTAATTTCTTTCAGAGAATATCTAATATCTGTCAGAGGTAACTTTTAGCCTTACTTAAGAAGTATTTATGAAGACAACATATCATTAGCTCCAGAATGTTCTAATTAAACAGGTATGGAATTGCAGAAACATCTCCTGGGGCCAGTATGCTTTCAGAAATCCATATGCAGCCCCTGGAGGGGAGAAGAGTGTGTGAGGAGTCCTCTCACTAAGGAGGACGGAACAGCAGAGACAATAGGTGAAGAACTGATCATGACTCCCATTCATCCCCCTCCTGCCACTGGAGGGAGGAGGAAGAGAATTCTGGAGTAAAGTTCTATTTCAAGAAGAAGGATAAGTGTGTTTTTAAAATCTGGTTTCTATTTCTCACTATCCTGCTCTGATTTGACTGGTAAGAAATTAAACTGATCTCCCCAAGTCAAGCCTGTTTTGCTCATGATAGTAACTGCTGGGTGATCCCTCCCTGTCCTTATCCCAACCCAGGAGCCTTCAGTTGTATTTTCTCCTCCCTGTCCAGATGTGGGTCAACCCTGCCAACACATTACTGTATAGACTAAGGCAATGGATGAGGTGGACAGTGGCTGGGGAAGAGTTTCTGTGGACAATACAACTTTCCTTCTCTTCACATAAATGTACAGTAAGGAAATGTTCCCCCATTAAAAAAATCAAAAGTGCTACAAAAATAAGACTAAGTTTTATTTAAATCATTTTAAGAATGAAAACTTGGTGCTTATGTCTTCTGAATTTCTCTCTTCTCAAAAAGCTTGTAATTTAGGCACAATCATTTCACTCAGACTCACCACTGGCCAATAGCAGTATCAACAAAATGTACAGATTCTTCTAATTAAGTTGTCCAACAATGCTAATGATTAGCCATTTAGATCACTGCTGTTTGATAACTGACTGTAGTTTTTCTGATAAAAAATTGTAAAACATCAATGATTTAGAGATAGAGCAACCACAGGCTAAGCAGGTCTGACATTGGTTAATAAAATCTGAAAATAATTAGAAAAAGTATTCTCCATTCCCTATTTCTTTTGGCACAAAAATGCAGGAAAATAAGTCTGTGTTAGTGC